GCTAAGTAGGAGGCAAAAAAATCCCTTAAGACAATTGTTGCACGAGAAGCCGTCGGCATACCACCTAGACTCCCAAAGCCGGTCCTTCGGGGGTTTGGAAATGGAACCTCCAACTTGGTGTCATCCTATACTGCTACTGGGCCCGATGGGAAGCCGCTATAGGAATCTACTCTCTTGAACCTGCCAGCCTTTCAGCCAGGTCGATGCAGGCCGCAACTGTCGTGAATGCCATGGGGCACCGCATGCTGACAAAATATGCGCAGCTACGCTGCGGTTTACAAAAATTAAGTCCGAAGACAGACGACACCGAAATACCCCATCTATATAAGCAGCGACAGTCAAGGAATGCTCGGCAAGCTTTTCGTGACTTGGCTGCACGCATCCACCGTCGATTCTGACCAGTCGATTAGTCGTAGGACTGCGTGTCGTCAGGTATTTGTTTTGCCGTGATATTCGCCTGACATGCCGGCTGTGCCTAGGCGACCTTGACCTGGACAAGGATGGGAAGGTAAGTAGGCCACCTGGACTGCACCGAGACTGTGAATGTTTCTGGGCGGAAACGATCCCGAGCACCAAGGAAAGAGTTGCAGTTCTTCGTTAAGCACCTTGATCGCAGCATGGCGGTTCCCAGCCCTTCCGGCAGAAGCCCAGTTCATTGTGACCTGTGCCCCAGTCTTTGCTAAGCCTATCCGCACATCTTTCCGGGCGTGGCTCCCGGCTGTTGGATAGAGCTCCGGGTGCAGAAAAAGGTTGTACCCCCTGCATGTCACGGCAGTTCCAGTGGACGCTTGTGCCTGGATCCCTGCCTGCAGTGTTCGAATGCGAGGCTCGAAATCCTACACTGTCGCAGCGCACACCTGAACAGCCTCACCTGGCGTGTCCGAGTCGCCTGAGTCCAAACCCTTAGGCTCCCTTGCTGAGGGGTGCCAGCAAGCGAGACCCGCGTGATTTCTTGCTTATCCTAGGAAGATGGGCCTCCCGGTCGAAGCGGCCGATGTGCTGTTTGAAGCCCTGACGCCCAGCGATTTCGGAGGCTTGGCCCGCTTGCCGACTTGCACACTTTTTCTGGGCAGTTCATGTAATACTCTGCACCATCCATATGTATATATATATACACACANNCACACACACACACACTCACCGATACCCAGAAATTAATCAAATTAGTATTTAACGAACATAGAAGAGGTGGCTCAAGCAGTCCATTATATACAGAGCATATCTAGTGAACACATACGTGATGTATAGTACATACAGTCCACATAGTTCATATTATTTACTATCTGTCTGTCTGTCTATCGATGAATCTATCTGTCTGTCTTCTATTTATCTATCTATCTATCTAT